GTCTTTGTCGTGAAAATATTGCAACACGTGATTCAGGCAAACCGAGGCATGCTTTCATTTTGAGGACCTCATGCGTCAAGTTATGTTCTTAAGTTGATCTATTAACTGCAAGGTACCAAAATTTTGATAACAATTCTAAGATTTTAATCCCACGTACTCAATCTTAAGCCCTTGTTTGAACTTCATTCTTGTCCAAAAAATGCATTTTTGAATAGTATATTGATGGAAAATATGTGGTTAAAAAATAAAGAAAAGTTTTAAATTTACGTGTAATATTATTTTATTGAAAAATATGTGGTTGAAGTGAGGTCAAATCACTGTTAAAGAATGAATTTTTGATAGAAAAAAGGGGCCTCAAACAAAGGCTGAATATGATTTCGAAAGTTCTCTGGTTTTTGATTGGAGGCAGCCTGAAAGTGTTATGATGTGGCGTTCTATTGATTACCCTCACATAATGTAGAGTATGGAATCTGATTTTTTCAGCTACTGACAGTTTCAAGTTTCTTGCTCTAGAATAAAATAACATTTAATAGATAGTGTCACATGTTACAGAATGGCATTTTCTTTTGTTTGCATGGTCTGTAATGTGTTCCTTTTCTATCAATAACAGAAAATATTTGCAGTCTGATGTACGTGTATTTTGTGTGCATTGTACTGTTTGATCTGGTGCTCTAAGATTTTAAGCAGCCAATAATTGTTTAAAGTCATTTGTGAAATGAGTGATCTGACTCCAGTATTTATTCAGGTGTATATGGTTTGAAACCTGATGCTTTTGATATCAAAAAACATATCCATGAGCTGTCTTTCAATGAGCTCCTTGATGGCAGTTATAACTGCCCTAGTAATACCAAAGACAAGGGAAAGAAAGCTGCAAATTCAAATGATAATCTTTTGAATTCAGTAAGAAAGGCTTGTTCTGTCCTTAGGCTCCAAAAGGCAGTTCTTGCCCAGAAATGTGCTGAAAATGAAAACAGTAATAGTTCAACAGGATTGCTGATTGCTGGCTCTACAGCTAGCCAATCTGATGGTGATAAAGAAGATTCCTGTCCTGCAGATTTGACATCCTCTGACAAGGTTAGTTTGAACTCTTGATATACGTGGAACTTTGGTGAGGAGCATTTAAAGATGGGGTAATGATAAATGGATAACCACAGTTTTGCATATCAATAGAACCATAATCTTGTTGATCAACTTGCCTCCTCTTAATTGTTTGGCAGGATTTTCTTGAACTTTACACTGCCAGCATTCCTGTTTATGCCTTTTATTCTAACCTATTGGTTTCTGCTCTACGCTTCACAATATGTGAGTGCCTACAATCATCATTTGTATATCAGTGTTCTTGGCCAAATTCTTATATACATCTTCAAAATGGTATAAACATCAAATGTAAAGTTATTGTTGCTGTCATACTGTGATGTTTCAACAGTAATGCCTATGATATGTGAAGGAATCCAGTGGCATATTCATATGCTGTGGAGCATGAAATATCAAATATGATGTTATTATTGCTGGCATTGAGATAGAGTTTGAACAGTGATGCCTAGAATATGCTTAAGAAACTAGTGACAT